CTGACAGAATTTCAGTTTTGTGTGGTTTAAGTTAAATCCTAATTGAAACAATATGGATAAATACAACCAGCTCATTCTGATCAGTGCTGTCAACTGTTCTGACCACTTGCTGAGGAGGAGGCGTGATCGCTGGGCTCCTCACGATGGCCATTGTGGTTGAGTGGGCCTGAGTCTGGAGATTCTGGGCAGGGCTGTACATACAGACGACCTCACATGCTGGACCGTGCATACATCAGGGCATTTGCTCTGAAGTTTGTTCACCACCAGCTTTTTAAATTGCTTTCACTGACACTTCCTTCCTCTCTTCTACCCAAGACCGTTACTTTGTCTGGGTAGAATTCTTAGTGGGTTGGCGGAATGCGGTTGAAAACACGTTAAAGATGAGAAACCACTTCACCCTTGTCCTTTGTTCCAGGCCCACAATGGACGCCCTGCAGCTGGCAAATTCAGCTTTCGCAGTTGACCTGTTCAAACAACTGTGTGAAAAGGAGCCAGCAGGCAATGTCCTCTTTGCTCCGATCTGTCTGTCCACTTCCCTGTCACTTGCTCAAGTAGGCACCAAAGGTGACACAGCAAACGAAATTGGACAGGTAAGCCCCACACCTTGTTTCTGCTTTGAGTGGGAATAGAGTTACTAGAACACAGAGGCCGTGTTGGGGGAAGAACGAATGGGGCTGGGTGGTCAGAATTGCTCAGAGTCAGAGTTGTGCCACTTCTAGCGCTCTCTTCATCTACGTTTAAATGTGAGAGCTCATTTATCTGTCCTGCAACCCACGTTTAGAATAGGTGCCATGTTGTGATGGAGAACTTGGGGGTCTGCTAGGTAATCACAAGCTTTCCACTATCGAGTGGCCTTTAACAAGTCATCCAACATCTTTCTACATGTTATATTGTAAGGATCAATCAGGATGGTGTTTATTAAATGTTCCACTGCCAATACCCCAACCAGAAGGAGCGTAAATCTATATCCCTGTCTTATGCACAAAATGTATTTACAGCATTATGCTTTGTGATTTTTTTCTTGCGATATAATTGACATACAGCATTATACAACATAATTATTTGAAATTTGTATATATTGCAAAATGATCACCGTAAGTCTCATTAACACCCATCACCATACATAGTTACAGACATTTTTTTCTTGTGATGAGAACTTTTAAGATCTACTCTCTTAACTTTCAAATAGGCAACACAGTTTTGTTAATTATATTCACCATGCTGTACATTGCATCCCCATGACTTATTGTATAACTGGAACTTTGTACCTTTTTACCCCCTACACCTATTTCCCCCATCCCCACCCCCTCCATTTACTTTTAGATAGTATGTGAATGCCCTTCTAATTCCATTGCATTATTATTCTTAGGTAGATCATTCTAGGTTCAACAGAAGCTTTCTTTCTACAAGCTCACAGCATTTAGAAACGGAACATCTTATACCTATAAATCCCCAGAAAGTATGACCCGTGAAATGTTATTGGGGTCATAATATGTGAAGGATTTACACTTGAAATTGAGTGGACCTGAAAGAGAGTCTTTACTTGTGGGAAGAGGAGCTGTATCTTCTCATCTGTCCATCTCTCTCAACTCCTCCACTCCCCAGTCCTTACCCCATCTCCCATTCCTC